ACTGTATAACCGGCCCTCCCGCTCCTCCCTGCGTCTCTCCGCACGCCGCCGCACTGTATAACTGGCCCTCCCGCTCCTCCCTGCCGTTGCTGTCACCTGCCTCCTTCGCTTTTTACTTTCCCCTCTTCCCGCTGTTTCTCTCATCCACCCGGCCGTCTCCCCTGTCAGCCTCTCCTTGAGTTGCCCCCTTACTTCTCTTCTCACCGCCACCAATCCCCCCTGCTCCTCTTCCTTTATCTCTCTCACTGCTTCATTTTCTTCCCCCTTCCTCTATGCCCCCCCCCCACCAACCTTTCCATCCCGGCCCTCAAATCAATAATTCAGAATCCTCACATGGTGGAGGTAGTCTGGCAGGATGATTACATCTGGAGAGAAAGAGAGAGAGAGAGAGAGAGAATGGGGGGAGAAAGAGGGAGAGAGAAACAGAGAGAGAAAAAGGGAGAGGGTGAGAAGGAGTGAGGGAGAGATAGAGAGAGAGATTGAGGGACAGAGAGTGAGGCAGAGAGAGAGGGAGAGAGAAAGCTTATCACCCTGAATAATGACTGTGTGACACTACCCTTTTAAAAGGCTGAGGGAGTTAAATCACGGTGATATGGGGGCTCGTGGCAGAGGGCAAAGCTCAACAAGACCACACCCCCAGCGCAGAGGAGAGCCTTATTACTGTGTGGGGGGTGACAGTACTGACAATTATTACAAAGCCGTGGCGTGCTGATGCGATGGCCGGCCTGTCCAGGTGCACACATGCTTCATGTGGTGCCTTTCAAGACAGCAAAAATGAATCCTCATGTTAATTACCGCAAATTTTTTTCCCCTCCCAGTTTGCAACCCTCTGGAATTTCACTGGAATTCCGCATCAGGGACTGCCATCCTCATGCCTTTGGAACACAATTTCCTGCTGGTGGAAAAACATTTGCACTGGTTGTCACACTTCAAAATGCAGTTGACACACCTATCAACGTCCTAATCAAGACAATCTGAGCAATTAGACCTTATCAACAAGCAGGAAGTCCTCTGTGGTTTTTCCCGGTTCTGTCTGTGCATTTATGTGCCTGTCACACATAATCCACGAATCTGGATTTCTTTATGCCCTGAGCTGTGGCTAATTATGAAGTGACCTATTTCATCCGAAACAGAAGCTATGACTATTTTACTGCATGAGGAAACAGAGGGAATGCTCAAAAGTTTGCAGAGTCCTTACTCTCAGTAATTGTATTGCAAAAAGCATGTAATGGTGAGGACTGCCAGCGCCCCATCCAGAGTGTGCCCTGCCTCGTGCCCTGTGATGGACTGGCATCCCATCTAGGGGGTCTCTACCCTGTTCCACTGTAATAGGCTCCATTAGGAAGATCAGTGTGTGGCATGTCATCTACAAGTAATAACAGAGATAGTTAAAAGAAAAAAGTCTGGTTTTGTCACTTTTTTTTATCATTGGATTTAACTCATTCAGTTTCAGTCTTTTCAAATTTGTTTTGAGGGCTGAACTTGTCTATTCATATGTGACACGTCAAGTTACCAAAGGAATGGGCAGCTGCAGATTTATATAACAACGTCTGTTCCTGTCAGCACTGGCTTCCTGCTGTCCGTCGCTCCGCAGTGTCAGGAAGGCGCAGCGCCGGCCGGGATGGTGTCCAGCTCGTCAGGCCGGAATAACCACTTTATAACTGAAAATTAAAGCAAGAACAATGGACTGTAGCAGAGCTGTGCTTCTTTGTATGTTATTGATCATGTCCATTATGTGGCTGACTGTGTGGTTCACTGGAATACTGTGTTACAGGCTTAGAGTGTGACACAGTGTTACACCTTCTGTGTGACAGTGATACAGGATTTGTGTGTAACAGTTGTACAGACTCTGTGTGTAACACAGTGATACAGCCTGTGTGTTACGCAGTGATATAAGCTCTGTGTGTTATGCAGTGATACAGGCTCTGTGTGTTACGCAGTGATATAAGCTCTGTGTGTTACGCGGTGATACAGGCTCTGTGTGTTATGCCTCGATACAGGCTCTGTTTCTTACGCCGCGATTCAGGCTCTTTGTGTTACGCCTCGATTCAGGCTCTGCGTGTTACGCCGCGATTCAGGCTCTGCGTGTTACGCCGCGATTCAGGCTCTGCGTGTTACGCCGCGATTCAGGCTCTGCGTGTTACTCCGCGATTCCGTCTCTGTGCCTTTGCACACTCCCACCTCTCCCACCCACATGGCCACCCAGCCTGCGAATGTATCTATAAAAGTCACTATTTGCTATTCCATGAAAATATTTGCTAGTATTTGTAAGTGCTGCCCTGCAGTTTCGTGCTGAATGTAATGAACATTCATTAGTGCATTATTAAAACTGCAATGTTTTCTTATTAAAGACTGACCACAGGAAGGAGACATAGAAATGGGCCCACAGGTGAATGTAATTGTGCTGTGATATCTTGCATTTCCCTACTTGCTAACATCGCGTTGCCCTCTGAGGGGGGGAGCAGGCGTGTTGACCATACATGCTGAGTTGGGGATGTTAGATGCCTGGCTGTCTTTAGCATGGCTATGGGGAATTCCCGGTAAATTATTTCTAGGCCTTTGTCCTTTTGTGCTGGTTAGAGAGACTGATCGGGTCCTTCCAAGCTGACAGGGAACATGGAGTCCCGGTTTGGATGCTACTGACTTGATCTTTTTAAGTGGCCCTGATTCAGAGGGTCTGGGAGGGCAGTCATATGACAAGCCTTTAATGACAGTGGCAGAAATATATTCAGTGACAGGCATTATTTAAGTCAGCCCAGCTTGTTTAGAAGTAACACTTAGGTTGAGGAATGAGCAACAGCTGGACTGTGTGGCTCACACTCTGCTCTGCTGCCAGGATCTGGGTGCTGCAAAGATAAAGATGAACGCCAGTTTCCGCAGGGCAAAACACGCACACGCCCATGTGCTGACACGCAGACAACAGCGCCCCCTGCTGCCAGGTAAAGAAGAGAGATATTAGCCGTCTGATTCGTGCCGAACGTTGGGGTCCGGCTTTTTCGACTGCATCACATGCAGAGATGGCGTCCTGCGGCTTCTATATGTGTCCGAACACATCCAGGCGGGAGGCAGCAACGGCAAAACCTCCTGAACACGCCATCGGCCCAACAGGGAGACCTTACGGCTGGGGAGCCCAACCCGATGCCGGGCCCCAGAACATCTGCTCACATGGGATAATCTAGAAGAGTGGACTGCTTGGAAGGCTACATGGCAAATGAAAAGCTCCGCAGGGATCTGCATGTCGGCTTGGACCAGCAGAACTTGCTTTAATGTGCACCTTGGTGCAGGTGATAACCAAGGTACATGTAGGGATGACCAAGCAGTTGATCACACAATGTGGTGGTTCTTTCCCATGCACACAGCACCTCCTGCTGAATGGGGCATGTATTGCGCAAACCGTTGAACAGATGCATGCTTTACTTTCTTTTCTGCAGTTATATCACTAATACGCCCGTGCATTCATGTGTGGCTCAGTAAATGAAGGAAGTGCCACCTCACAGCAGGTAACGGTGCCCAGAAACTGCCCTCTGCTGACTGGCACGCGCCGCGCTATTATCATGGCGAAAGTTCAAAGGCATCTATGGCAGCTCTCCTCACCACGAGGGACGAGGAGAAATTGGCACGGAGCCCCCGGCAGCCGCTGGGCTCTGATGGTGTCCGTCTCCCAGCATCCCTGCTGAGATCACTGGTGTCCTATTAAAAGAAAGAGATGATTAGCTGGCGAACGGCGAGGAAGCCTTCTTCCACTGCTGCGAGAGACACATTAATTGTCCTGCAGTATCATTAAGGGGCTGATTTCCAGCTTCGGCGCCAGTTCGCTGTCAGTCAGCTGGCGAATTAGCTCAGCCTGAAACGCACATTCCTGCTTGCGTTAACTACCTTCCTTGGAACAGAGCAGTGGTTTGCTGTGCATAGTAATGAGAACCCCGGGTTACACAGAGAGCCACCAAATTAACCAGGATGCACAGGCTTTGGACAAACACGACTGAACAGAAGTAAATCTTTAGCACAGTGTGTGTGTGTCAAGAACCAGGAAATAAAAGCCTTGCACGCGCTGGTATGTCTCTTTCATAGTTGATGATACATTGCTTATTTTAGCAATAATATCAGCATTAGGGTTATGTCGAAATTGGTGCCTTTAGCTTATGTAAACAGCTGAAGAATTACAGTCTTCTCCTTTGATTTCCACATAAAACCTACGCACAGGCTCACTCACACCCATCGATGGGGGTGTGCCAGCATGTTCTCAACAGTGACATCTGGTGTCAAAACGGGTAACAGCAATCAGCTGTGATCCCATTTTAAACCATGCAGGAGACCTTGCACAGTGGCGGCTGAAGTTATTTTCAAGGGAGAACACAGGGAGGCAGCGGTAAAACGGACAGGGCACCCAAAAAGGAGAAGTAAAAGCTGTCACAACGATGCACAAAATAAAACATGATTTTTCTTTTAAACTGGCACAATTATTGTGGCTATTGTTATGGCGGGGTACGACGAAGGAAGAAGGCATGAACCACGTAGCGGAGAAGCAGAAAACAAAGGGAACACAAGGGGTCAAAACTAAGCTAAGGCAGGGAGCAGCACCAGGAACAACAATAACAATAGGAAGGAAGGAACACGGGAAGCTAGAATAACTAACACAGAGCAAATACAACTAATGAAGAGTCAGCAAAACAGGAAAACTGCCACAATGACCCACTGAAGAACAGAACAAGAGCAGGAATTTAAATATATGAATAATAACACATGATGCAGGACATGGGAGAACCATAAGCACATGTAAAATAGAACATAAACAGGAACAGGCAGGGTATCCATAAACAAGACATAACATAACCATATAGCTAAAATAAGGCATATAAAATAAATGGAAAGGTGAGGCAGGTGTGGGAACAGGCTTGACCTCATAAGAGGAGGCAGATGCAGCAGATGGGCACTGAGCTTGACAGCAATGAGGTCTTGGTGTTTATCCAGAAGATGTGAAATATATTCTGCTAATTGACTAACAAATAAGACACTTATGACCATTTCATTTGGTTTAATTTTTCCTCGGGACTCTTTTGTTAAATTGCGTAATGTACAGTGGTGCTCCAGCAGGAAATTACAATAACCATCAGGGTCTCACAAGTGCTCTAAAAACTGTGTTCCTGTGAATTCATGTCTCTATATTTTCCATGTATTTTTTGATGGTGTGTTACTGTATGCTCCATGAGAAACTTGCACCTTGACCAGGGTGTCCCCTGCCTCACGCCCCGCACCCCCCCTTATAGGCTCC